TGCTGAGCCCCCTTCTCTGTCTTCTGCCTGCCCACAGGGTCCTTGAGGAGGCATCTGCCAGTCAAGCTGCCAGCAAGAAGGAGACTCGCATGGAGTCATCAGGCAAGAACAAGTCGTATGATGTGCGCATCGAGAACTTTGACGTGTCCTTCGGTGAGCGGTGAGTGCAGGTGGGGAGGTGGGACAGATCCTGGCTGGCGTTTTGGACACGGGGTCATTGAGACTGGGTTGGAGAGTGGTTGGGAAATGACAGAGGGTCTGGGAAGGATCAGGAAGCAAGGTGGGCACCTGACCCTGTTGGCTTTGGGCAGGAGAAGTCTGTGATGGTTGCTTGGCCCCAGCACATCCTGAAATACACTGGGGGCAGGTGGCTGCTGGTTATCTCCCTCTCCGTGGGGCAGCCTGACCAGGTATCTGCCTCTTCTCTTCCTTTAGTGTCCTGCTGGCAGGAGCAGACCTGAACCTGGCGTTTGGACGGCGCTACGGGCTGGTGGGCAGGAACGGGCTGGGGAAGACCACGCTGCTGAAGATGATCGCCAGCCGGAGCCTGCGCATCCCCTTGCACATCAGCATCCTCCACGTGGAGCAGGAGGTGGCAGGGGATGAGACGCCGGCGCTGCAGAGTGTGCTGGAGTGTGACACCACTCGTGAGAGCCTGCTGCGGGAGGAGAGGGATCTGACGGCTAAGATTAACGCTGGCAGGGGAGATGTTGCCGCTGGGTTTCCAGCCCTTCTGTGGCTTCTTTACCATGAGTTCTTGCTCTGAGGTCTCTCCCTTCAGACGGAGGGCTCCAGCAGGGCTGGGCTGTGTCTTGTCCCCCTGCTTGGGGAGATCAGCCTCTCCCAGCACTCAAACCCTGACACCCATCAGTGTCACACACTCCTCTTTGTCCTGCCCCAGGGGAGAAGGGACGGAAGGTGCCAGGCTATCGGAGATCTACGCAAAGCTGGAGGAGATTGAGGCAGACAAGGCCCCGGCGAGGTGAGACAGCCCTGTGGTCTCTGCTGTCTGTTGGTATGGGCAGTGGTTTGGGGCATGGAAGGGTGATGCTGTGGCCCTGGGATCCAGCATGTGGAGACAGGGGGCTCTCCCTGCTACTCTTTTTGCTCTCCTGTCACAGCTCTGCTGGTCTAGGCATAGTTGAGCTTCACTGTGAAGCTGGAGGGATTTTGGGGGTTTTTTGCCCCAAATGTCTCGCATTGTTGCTGCTGCTCCTCTCGGACCTCTCCAGGTTCCTGGTGCCTGGTGAGCATTTCTGGGATGTTGGTGGTAGTGACTCTCTTCCCAGCCAAAGAGCTGAAAGCTTCTTGCACATCTCCTGGGATTTCATGTGGATCCTGTGACCTGCTGGGCTGCATTTCCCAGCCAAGCGCTGCTCTTGGGTGTGCAGGAAAGTTTTCCGGTGCCAGAATGGCTTTAAACCATGCAGCAGAGTCCCCTTGGGGACCATGGGTCCAGGACATCAGACTGTGCTCTTCGGTTGGATGCTGTAGCTGGGTTCCAATTGTCACCCCTTTTCTCCAGGGCATCTGTCATTCTCGCTGGGCTGGGCTTTAATGCAAAGATGCAACAACAGACAACCAAGTAAGTGTCCAGGTTCTGGGCATCAAGACAGAAATGGGTCTGGGGAAACGCTGCTGCTAGTGAGCCCCCCGGCACTGCTGTGGCTGTATCTGTGGGAGGGGAGCCCCGGGGAGGGTGAGGGTCTCCTGTCTTGGGGATGCCAAGCCACCTGCCTGCTGGACCATGGATCTTGTGCTGTGCCTGAGATCTCTGCAGGGACACGGTATCTCTGGGTGACAGCAGAGCTGAAAGTGAGGTTGGGGAGCAGGGAGCCTGGCAGGCAGGTGAACACAGAGTTGTTCTGCATTAAACAGTAACCCCTCTCTGCAAACTCTTCTCTCCTCAGAGAGTTTTCCGGAGGCTGGAGAATGAGACTGGCCTTAGCCAGAGCCCTGTTCGCCAGGTTGGTGTCCAGGCCTTCATGCCCTGGGGTTAACGCTCCTTGCTGTCTGTGCTGTGAGGTGCAGGGGTGCTTCCTGGGGGTCCTCTCAACTCAGGCTCTTGGAGTGGGGAGTGTTGGAGGCATCCCAGCTCTGTGTGTGTGGTGAAACATGCTCTGCACTGACCCTGTGCTCTTTTTGCTTCTGATACCCATGTCTTGTTTTTCCTAGGCCAGATCTCCTGCTGCTGGACGGTAAGTCGATACTGTGAGTCCCCTCTGACTCCACTGCTGAGCCTGCCTGTGCCCTTGCTGGGGCTGGGAACGCGCCGTGGCCTTTAGCTGCCTGCTCAAAATAGCCCTGTGTGACGGGCAGGGCTGTCAGTGCTGCCCTGGCAGGGTGGGCAGAGCTGGCAGCGGTGCAGGGAACTCTGCTTGGGCTGCGCTCAGCAGAGCTCTGCCCCGTGCCCAGCTGGGTGGTCAGCGTGTCGTCATGCCCCGAGCATGTCCCTCCCTTCCCCTCACCCAGCCCTGTGATGGGCCCTGGCTGCCAGCCTGCACTGGAGGGGAGTCCCTTTGCTGCAGGGGTGACCCTGGTGCTGGGCTGGATCCCTGGGGAGGTGACCACCTTGGGTGGGGGGTCTGGGCAAGGTGCTGCTGCTGGGCACCAGGGTCCAGGTACCAGTATGGAGTGGAGGGAGCATCCCTGGCTGAGTCTCAGCCCCTGTGCCCACCCCCCTCAATGCGCACAGAGATGTGGAGGCAGGTCCTGACACAGAATCTGCTCTCCCCAACACCGATCATTAGCCTTTGCTGTGTAAAAAAGCGTGATCTAGCTGTCCTCAGCCCTCCTGACTTCAGTGCCTCTTTTCCCTCAGAGCCAACGAACCTGCTGGACGTGAGGGCCATTTTATGGCTTGAGACCTACCTGCAGGTAGGAGGTGGTGGGAAACC